CCACTGCTTGTGCAATGTCTGGTCTTGTGCATATCATAGCGAACATTAAACTTCCCACTGCCGATGCATACAGTACTCGAGACATCTTTATCCTCTTTTCTTCACTACTAGGACTCATACTGGAGGATAATTTGAAGTTAATAAGAAGAGGGGTATAAATTGGCTTACAATCTTGCATGCTGAATCGTGACAAGATCTTCTTCAAATAATTCTTTTGTGAAGGACAAATCTTCCTATTACTTCTGTCTCGGTGAATTTGCATCCATAGAATCTTGTTTGTTGATCCCAAGTCCTTCATTTCAAATTGCCTAGCCAGTTGTGCCTTCAATTCTTCAATATGATCTTTGTTGGGTCCTGTAACCAATATGACATCCACATACAACAAAAATATAACAAAATCGTTTATCACCAGACCTCTTGAAATAAGCACAAGGGTCTGCATTAAGTTTGTTGTATCCAAGGCACATAATGAAGGAATCAAATCTCTTATACTAACACCTAGGCGCCTGCTTTAGATCGTATAGAGATTTGTTCAACCTGCAAACCAAGTTCTTTTATTTTTCTTCAAAACCTTCAGGCTGGAGCATATAAATCTCTTCTTCAAGATTTCCATGAAGAAAAGTTGTTTTAATATCTAGCTGCTCTAGATGTAAATTCAATGTAGCACACATTGCCAACACTACTCGAACTATTGTTAGTCGAACTACATGAGAAGATTTCATTGAAATCAATACCTTCTTTTTGAGCATATCCTTTGACCACCAGTCTTGCACAATACCTCTCCACTTGATCATCACCATTTTGCTTGATCATCAATACCTTTTTTTAGTTTTAGGTTTTGGGTTTTTAGTTTAGGGTTTAAGGTTTAGTGTTTTTAGTTTTAGGGTTTAAGGGTTAAAGTTTAGTGTTTTTAGTTTTGTGTTTAAGGTGTTTGATTTAGGGTTTTGGTTTTTGGTTGGGAATGACCATGACCTAAATGGGGTGCAAGGGATTGAATTCAATAAAGCACTTCATTTTGTACGAGATTTTAGTGGAGATGAGATATTTGATAAGTATGATTTTACTTGTAAACTTGTCGTGATATGTGCTTTTTGTAGTTGTAAATGTTAGTGATATTATTCCCAGAACCGTTGGACATGATGTTTGCGCAGATTATATGAAATAGGTATAGGTAATGTATTGCTCTTTCAAGGTGAAATTGAATGTGCCAATGATTTTATACCTGGTTCAGATGAGAGCTCACCAAAGCCACAACAGTCTCTTTTCACCTTCTGCAGACACCCAGACAGCAAAAAGACTCCTTTTAAATCTTCTTGTGAGTATTACCTGATTTTCTATTTTGTTATAATTGTTACTACCTCATTTCACATATATTTAAAACTGATATATTATTTTTCGTTGATGGACTTAATACATTGTTTGATGATAAGGTCGTCAACGGTTGGTTTTGATGGTTATTGTTGACATGAATATGTAAATTTATATAAAATAAGTGTTTCAATCCTAAAAATAAAAAATCCTAAAATAAGTATAGTTTTTAATAAAATAACATAATTTAATTATATTCCTATTAAATTTTAAACTAGATAGTAAGAAAGTGTTAATTATGGATATATCGTTAGATTTTTATATTTTTATTTAACAAGGATGATTTAATTAGTGTCGTGCATCGGTGTGTCGCATTAATGGTATGTTTCAGTATGCGATGTGCATTGTAGAATTTTCCATTCTACTATATTGAAATTCCTATCTTAGAAAGATGGGGAGAGACAAAGCTGTTGGTCCAGATCAAATTCCTATCACTGTGTGGTTGACCCTAGGAGAATAGGGAGTTAAGTGGTTGACCAACAACATCTTTAATATTATTTTAGAGACTGCCAAGATGCCAGAGGAGTGGAGAGAGTCTACGGTGATACTAATCTATAAGAATAAAAGAGATCCCCAACGTTGTGGCAACTACAGAGGTATTAAACTACTCAGCCATACCATGAAGCTATGGGAAAGGGTAATAGAGGCTAGGTTGAGACAGGTTACTAGGGTTTTAGAAAACCAATTTGCTTTATGCCAGGCAGGTCTACTACGGAGGCGATTCATCTACTTCGACGGCTTATGGAGAAATATAGGGAAAAAATAGTGATCTTCACATGGCGTTCATTGACCTTGAGAATACGTATGATAGCTTTCCCCGCGATACGATCTGGAAGACCTTGGAAACGAGACGGATCCCAACTGCTTATATCCGGGCGATTCGTGATATGTACTGTAGATCTACTACTACCATCAGGATTACAGTTGGCGACACCAAGGCATTCCCAGTGGAAATCAGACTCCACCAGGGGTCGGCTCTTAGCCCTTACATCTTCGTCTTGATTATGGACGACATCTATTGTGCGACACCAGACGGTGTTCCATGGTGTATGCTTTTCGCTGACGACATTGTCCTAATTGCTGAAACAAAAACTGAGCTGAATAGTAGACTTGCTACCTGGAAGACTGCTATGAAAGAAAAAGGTCTAAGGATCAATATTGAAAAGATAAATTATGTATGTTCAAACTTCAGTGGAAACCAAAACGATGAGATGTAGAAGTATGCATAGAAGGACACATTATCCCCTCAATGATGTTTCAAGTACCTAGGGTCTATGATACATAAAGATGGGGTGTAGATGAAGACGTTACACACTGTATAAAGGCGGGATGACTAAAGTGGAGGGCTGCTACTGGAGTTTTGTGTGACAAGAATGTGCCTCTAAAACTAAAGGGAAAATTTTATAGAATGGCAATAAGACCAGCGCTACTGTATGGATCAGAATGTTGGGCAATCAAGAAGGATCACGTAAGGAGGATGGAGGCCGCAGAAATGAGAATGCTTCGCGATGGACATGTGGTAGGATCTGTGGGACATGACACCTAACTCTGCTATTAGGATGTACTTGGGGGTGGTGCTTGTATCCGAAAAATTGAGGGAGGGAAGACTACGGTGGTTTGGACATTTCCTTAGGCGACAACCGTCGGATGCGTTCAGGAGGGTAGAGTTGATTACAGTCGACGGTGTCAGAAGGAGAGGACGACCAAGACGGAAGTGGGAAGACTACTTGAAATCTGATTTGAAGGAATTAGCCCTTACCGAGGACATGACCTCTGATAGGAAAGTATGGAGACTTAAGACCAGGGTAGTCGAGTAGTGCGGTTCACAGCCATAGGGTGTAACATCTCTGTCTTCTTTTTAATGTCTTTGTAGTACTTTCCATGACTTTTACTTTATACATGTTTCTGTCATTGAAATGTATGAAGGCTTAGAACTAGGGTATCGGAGTAGTGTTGCCTTAGTTTAAGAATTAACTCATTTGAATTTATTCCTTCTCGTAGCTTGCTATTATTGACTTTTGTGTATCATTTCTATTCATGTTTCCTCTTTTTAAATTTAGCTGGGTCTTACATTTTCAATCTATATGCAGAGATTTCTATGTAGGGAATTATTAGGGATTTTTAATAAAATGTAAAATTTATTAGGATTAATATTAGAACCTCAATTTTAGGTTTAGTCTCTCAAAAGATAGGTTCAATAATTTGTTTGATTGATTGTGTCATATTGGTTTTAAAATAAGTCAATCCTAGTTTATTAGAAATTTACGATATAACCCCCATTTTTGTCCAGGAGGAAATTGTTGTGAATTACCTAAATAAATTAATATCATCATTTTAACATTAATATTTATCAAACATTGTAATTACTTTTTGCACTTAATTTTAATAAAAATATCAAACAAATTTTGAAAATTAGATTCAAAACTCATATTTAGGTGTTCATTTTTATAAAATTTAGAAGGAAATGAGAAAATATAATAAAAGAGCAAGCATGTTCAATCGATTGAGAAAGTTATTTATCTTTATTCTCTCATATTTTCTCAGATCATAAATTATATATCCACCAAGAGTATTTTCCCTCTAGAGTCTCTCTTTCTCTTTTCTCTAAGTAGAATTAAAATTAGATTTATAATTTATAAAAAAAGATAGTGTCAAATTATTCTATTATATTTCTCTATATATGTTGCAGATTTATTATCTATATTCCTTGTAATTTTAACTCCTTTATTTTAAAAGTAAAGTTTCAATTTAATTTGTTTACAGCCCCTTGACTGTTTGCACCAAATGCCAATGCTCTTCCAGCACCTCCTTGCAGCTTCGCAATCGGTATTATAACCGATCAGCTTCCCATCACAAGGCCTCCGTATAATATTATTGACAACAACTATAGACTGCTGATGCGTGTAAAGAAAACTTCATTACATCGTTAAATGTCTCTTGCATATGCATGAAACAATAAAACAAATTATGAAACTGAAACATCACAGAAATATATAAAAGAGAAGTTGTAGAATCGCCTGTATAAGAAACAATGATATGCATCTATATATACTGTTTTGAGCATTATACTCCTTTAGTTCTGGTTTCCCATCACAAAATGTGCTCTCTGATGATGCAATGTCGGGTGGTAAAATATGAGTTTTAGATCAGAGATAGATGAACATTCACTTCAAAACTAAAATGCACTTTCGACCAATTTTGCAAGAAAATGTTGCATAATACGCATAATTGAAAACCTGCATCTGTATGTGTAATGTTCTTTTTTACCTTTTCCCGCTGATGAAAAATTAGATCTTGAACTTATAAATTATGAAAAATACATCAAAAATGGAATATGGCACAAAAATAAAGGGGCTTTTAACAAATAAACGGGAAATTATAATCTCTAAATTGTATGATCATAGTCAACCTCTGCAAGTGGATGAACTTCATCACAGAACTCAACAACAGGTTCCTTGTATGGAAACCCGACATTGCATTTCATGGAAATGACAAAAAGACGAAGTTACATTTCGGAGAATAAACACTGACTAACATGTGATTGAATGGCTAAAAAGAAACTAACCTGATGTGATATACCAAAGATAAAATTCTATCACCTACGAGAATGAAGTTGAATGACATACCTAAAACCGGTAAAATCAGTACTGGAATAGGTGCTGAAAAGCTCCTTGAGATTATCAACAAATAATGGGACATAAACTCCATTGAAGTTCTCATGTCTGAGGGTAGGATTATGCAGTCAAGGGCCTTTGCTATGGCTAACAGGTTTAGAAAAAAAGTCCAAAAACTTTAGCTTCTGAATTCACACAGTCAAGATCATAAGTGTGGTTAACACTGTAAATAAGGGATGCCGGGGATTGAATATCCATAGATGGACCCATAGGCTAAAAAGCCACCAAATTTTGGGCACAACAGTTGGCTTATGTGACCCCTTTCCTCTACAGAGTATGCAATTACTGAAACCTGCAGGTAAATAGAATTTAACACTGTTATACCTCTGAACATGTTCGAAGGGAAAGGCCACAAAATTAGCGACAATCCATATAGCTGCTCCAAACATGTTCAAAGCAAAAGACCATAGAGTTTGAATTTCTTACTTGGCAGTGATAAAGCAGATGAAAAATCCTTGCTATCTCGGTAATATCAGTTACATTCACAACTGCTTTGAAAATATAGGCTCCCGTAGCTCTCAGGGTGGAAACAAGATTGCTTAACTCTTCTTCCGAAGGGGTCATACCGGTAACATGACATGAAACAATAAATTTTGTAGCACTCTGATTCTTATACTTCATTTTCAGTTCCCTGATAAGATCAGAAGCAACCCGGACAATCACATGATATGCAAGTCAGATAAAAAGTGAAAAGAACATTGAAGGAAACAAGGTGGTTGATTAAAATCCCCTATGACGTAACGTGACACTTATTTTTTTCTTAAAGTACTCAAGTTTGATTTTTGTGTTCTACACTAATTTTGACACGAGAATGTGAGTCTCATTTCGATTCCAAGTTGCATAGCCTCCGACACTTAATTAGATGTTCATGAAACATAATGTTATTTAAGCTAGAAAGATAAAGGCTTATACCACAAATAAGTATCTGTTATACCAGAATGTTATTTAACTATGGGAAATTGCAACACAAGATACAACTAAATAACTAAGGCATTATTGAGAAGCATAGAAGCTACTGAAATAAGAGAACCAAACTATTATATTGAACATACGTAATCACAAGTGTCTTACCCGTTTGAAGCTAAATTAGGACAGTGTGTACACATGGGATCAATGCTGAAATCTTCACTGCACTACATGTATTTTACCAACAGATTGAAGATAAGCTCTAATCAATCTTTGAGGGTCAGGAACTCTAGATTTCTCATCAAAAGCATCGCCATTCATATTATCTCCTCGATAACTCGGTAACTTAACTCCGTCTTTAATCTCAAATGGGTCTGACCTTGGCTTTCCAAATTGCCCTGCCATCCTACCTACCTGCAAAAAAATCAAAGAGAACAGGAAAGAAGAGTATCTTCCCAGATTGAAGACAGAAGAATGAATTCAACTGATCTGCATCATTGTTATTGTCATCCTCTTTCAATTTCCTCTTTTCGCCAGACACGTTCTTACTAGGCTTATTAATTTTGGTTTCTTCAGACCTTGCAAACAGATAAACTCATTTTTTTACATAATAAAAGATCTTATAACTGGACTCTGCAAATATCCAAACGGATCGAAAACTCTCTGACACTCTAAGTGTATCCAAATACTTCAAATAACTCACTGCATCATACTTACCCAAATCAATATTGGAAAAGTTTAGGGGGGAAAAAGAAGAAAAATGCTCACCCCAAGAAGGATTTGAGTCAATGCAGTACTCTAGGCCTTGAAGTTGGTCCATTAGTGGGTGGTTTATTTCTTCAGGTTTTGGTTCTGCCATACCTTAAAATTTCCTACTTTTTGGCTTTTTTGCCTTTGAAACTCTAGTAGGTGAAAATTTCACTCAAAACCAGAACTTTATGTTAAATGTTCAAATGGGCATTCACAAAATAAATAAAAGAATCGATCTTTAAGCTCAAACCAGAGTAAAAACAGCAGAAAATCCACTCAAGATCAAAGCTTTAGATTGAATGTCAACAAAAAAAGAAGGGAAAAATAGGAACTTTGCTGCTCACCAAAGGCTTTTCCACTCTCTACTTTACTTGCTGCAGAGAGAGTTTGAGTTTTGTTTTTTTAACCCCATTTTTTCACAGCTTTTGATTTATATATATATATATATAGAAAAAGTTTCCGTTAACTTTATCCTGTATTCCGAAATTACCCCTAAAACAACATGCCAAAAGCACACAAATGTTATCGTTGAATGAACTGAAAGAACACAAAAGAAAAGACTTCATAGTTTTTCAAGAGTTAAGAAGCAATCGATAAGATAATCAAACAGTAAAGAAACTAAAAAGTAAAAAAAGACAAAACCTTGAACTGAATATATTTTCACAACGAAACTCAAGTCATCACTCTTCAATTTGCCAACATAGTTCCAGACATGAGCATGGAGATGCGACTGTCCAAGGAATATCTAATTACATGAAAAACTTAAGCAAAATTCGGACATAACTTAAGCAAAATCCAAAATACAGACTCAAGATAAGAGACGATGGGGGAAACAGCAATTGAGATTAAAAGGAAATGGAAACCGAAGGCTGAATTTAAGTACCTCAATAAACATGGCGAATTCAACAACATAACTAAATACCCAAAACATAAAACAAAAACCCAATCAAAATTCGAGGGGAAAATTGGAAGCAAACCTTGTAGCTCCACAGGCTATCACTGGAAGCAACAGAATGCCAAGCACGTGAAACAAGGAGAGATAGTGCCATGCTGCGTGCGTCAAGATTTCTTAATATCATCACCATTATGTCCCGACCGTAAATCTCCAGTGGATGCCATGCTTAAGCAATTGAAATTGAAAGAATATAAGGCTGGGAAATGTAAAAATGAAGTTGGCTCACCCTGCGATGAGAATGCTGACATACCGAGATTGATTCAATGAAAGTCCCAAGCGCAGTGAGACTTTGTATCGGCGAACCGAGCGAAAAGCTCTCTTATCCAATCCAAGCGAGTGGCACAGACAGAGTTTAGTTGCCACAAAGCTTATGGTCATCGTACCATCGATGAAGAGAAGAGAGGCGAGCAGCAAACTCACAGTGAAAGCTTTACCTTGATCTTAACGAAACTGCTATAGTGATAACTCGAGGTAGTTATATTGAAGCACAACTATAATCACTACTTCCTTTGAAACTCATCCTGGCTCCCGTTTCATCCTCATCATTCTGCAATAATCACAATAACAATTGTAAAAGCAGTTTCATATAACCATCACCCCGAAATCATCTCAGATTGCTATGGTCTCACCAGATGAATACGTGTCATCGGTACGTTCCCATCACTTCTCTTTCCCTGTTTCAAACACTCTTAAAATTTTGAAGACAAAAACCGATCAGAAATGACATATGATGTAAACTATTATGGTACATGAACATAATTTTCCCTTGAATATGCATGTGACAATGCTCCGGGAAGGCAGTTATACCTGGAAAATCCGACTTGCTTGAGAATAACTTCTTCCGCGATTTTGCAGTCCAGTCGAGTAGCTGAAAGAATCCACCTACATAACCTCCTCTATTCGTTGAACCTTCTTTGTTGACACCCATCGTACTAAGGCAAAACCCCGAGAACTCGACTTATAGGAGAAATACAAACCGAAGTCCACCGATCAAATTCGCCTGTAGTTGTTAAACACAATGAACTGTTCAGTTACCATGTATTGAATTTATAACACAATCAGACACTACAATATAAGCTCCTACAAGATTCTAAACCACTGTAAGATGTTTAAAATACTTGAATTTGTGAGATAATTCCTTTTTCTATAAACTCCACTATTCGAAAGTCGAGAACATATTCGATTAAACAAATAAAAGATCCGATGTGCATTAGTAATTCGACTTCAAGATGTCCAAAATATGCATCAAGTTTAACACCGAGAAATGATGTATACCAGTCTTCATTTCACATCACTTGAAGACACGATGCAGAAATTCAAACAACCAAAATTTGTCGAAACAAACTTGAAAACCGAAGAACATTAAATGAAAACACAAACCATCTCTAAATCCTTGATTCCACACATTCCGGGTACAATATCAAAACTATGCTGATTAAAACCTACATTCCACACATTCTAGCATTAATCATTTAAGTTTCTACAGTAATGGGGGGATTAAAACATGTAAGATTAATTGCATTCACTCATTTCACTATAATAATTACCTCAGATCCTAAAGTCAGTAAATCAAACGATATATTTCCTGTATAATGAACTAAGCAATTAAATTTCATTGAAGCTGCATGAAGAACACTACAATCAAAATTCTTAAAGTCATACCCCCTTTCCCGAATTTTCTCAGCTACCAAACACACCCAATGTAAACAATTCAAAAAATGATAAGAAAAAAGCATCATAAAATCAACAAAACACCCCATAAACAAAAACCCAAATCTTTAACCGAACCAAAAACACTTACATTGAAACCAATGAATAAGATCAGCTTAACTGAAGCTGAAATTTTCTGGGTTCAACTTGTATATACTTTGAAGCTGAAAGTTGAGATTTATTGAGAAAAACAAAAGTGGAAAGGCTCATCCTTTGAATTTGAGAAAGGGAGAGAGAGAGAGAGAGAGTATTTGTAGTTCAAGAGTAAAGATGGGATTTCGATTTTTAAAATAAAAAAATATTATTAAAAGGAGGTAAATTTAAAAAGCTTATAACGTCTCTTTGGATTTCAAATTCCAAACGGAGACCTACGAGTGGTTCTTCTTGCGTTTTTGTTAAAGTTACACCTCTCTTTCAATTAGTTTGTGAACCACTTGATGTCTGGTGTACACGTGTTGAAGAAAAACCTCTTTCCAAAGTTGAAGTGTAACATGATAAATTAAGTGCCATTTATCCAAAGTCAAATTACAAGTAGCAATATATATATTACACTAAATTAGAACTACCAATTTTAAAAACACAATACAATTATATGCTATGAATATAAATTAAAAATAATAATTAAGATGCGGCTGTATGGATTTAAAATTTATATAAGATACAAACTATTAATTAATAAAAATAATTTAAATATCAAATATTTAAAAATAGAATGAGAATATTCAAAGTGTATGTACTTCAAAATCTTGATTCTAAATATTAAAGATGGAATAATACGAACGGAGTTTCTCTTCAATACGAAGATTCATGATCTTTTCAGAATATAATAAAAGTGGAAAATAGAAAATTTTAAAAAAATACAATAATAAAGTTATTTTTAATATTTGTTTAAATTGTTATTTTGATCATTATTCTTTTATTTCGGAGCATTTTAGTCAAATATTCTATTTTTTTGTCAAAATAACCTTTGTTGGATGGAACCGTTAATTGACTAACGATCAACACATATTACTAACATGACATTTTTACATGTGTTTAATTAATAAAATAACACATGTTACATCATCATTTTGAATTATGTGATATATGTCACATCATCATTTTAAATTATGTGATACATGTCAGATCATCATTTTAAATTATGTGATAGATGTCACATCATCATTTTTTATAATATAACGTGACATGTTACATGTTACATGTTATCAATTAAACAAATATGAAAATGCCAATCAACATGTATTGTTTTAAAAAATTAGTTAACCCTTATTCCCATATGTAATGGATAAGGGGGAGGTAGGATAGTAGACTGCCCCAAACACTAGGTTGAGAGCAACTTCCGTGAGAGACCTCTGAATTATGAATTGCCCACCATAGGACTCGATCCCATGACCAAAAATTAAAATGTTTATGTACTAAAATGTTCTCAAAGAAAAGAATAAGGGTCAAAGTGACCATTTAAACAAACATTAAGAGCTAATTCTATCATTATATATTTTTTTTAAATCCAAACCTAAACCCTATATCCTAAGGTTTCTAGGATTTGTAGTATTTATAGGGTTTTTAGGATTGGTAGGTTTATAGAGTTTGTTAGATTTGTAGGGTATGTAGGATTTGTAGGGTTTGTAGGGTTTTTAGGGTTTATAGGATTTCTAGGGTTCGTAGGATTTGTAGGGTTTCTAGGGTTTCTAGGATTTTCTAAGGTTTGTAGGGTTTGTAAGGTTTTTAGGGTTTAAAGTATATTTATTTGTTAAAAAGATAGCTAGAATAGATTCTGACCTTAATTTTCTAATTACAGTTATCAGGGTCATCAAACTAAGGTTAATATGACAGCCTTCCCCGAGCCTTACACCATCAGCATTTATTTGTGAAGCTATTTCACTTCCAGCTAGATCTACAAAGTTCTGCAAGTTTGGTCCCAACATATTGTCATCAGGACAACAATCCATACATCTTTTTATTATATTTATATAAGACTTGTCCAGCTATCTACAACTAGTAAAGTAAGTGTGGATTGTACAGGTCATAGATGGGATATGATCACTCTTACCAGGCTTGCAACAAATGATCTCACACAACCATAAATTTCACGCAGAGTACTCTCGATTGTCTACAATGTAAGCCAAAGAAATTTATGAATTAGCTTCCATAAGGCATCGAATATACTAACAAAACCAACAAAAATCCTCATTCATACCAGCCTTATTATTTGGTGTGACCGTGAGCTAGAATCATTTAGGGCAGTTTCTCCAACTTGTCTTTGAGCTAAAACAAATGCCAGTAAAACAGTTAGACTCGCTTTTAATAGAGGGAAAAGGTCTTCTAACTCAAATCAATTGCTTCATTAATTACCTTCACAAATGCTAATTAGATGTCTTAGATGATGATCATTGCTGGTTGTTTCTTCCACCAACTTCTCAACCACAATACCTTTCTGCGAGCAGATTAAACAGACAAAAATATTGTAAAGGACTGGAGGAGGATTGAAAGCATAGGTGCTTAAATAACAGCCATTACCTCCGGATTATCTAGAAGCATGAGACTACGGCCAGATTCAGAATTAAACAGGTCTCTAACATTCTCATTATAAATTTCTAGTCCCGAAATTTTAATGGTAAAATCTCTCTCTGGTGTCTTCAGCAATTTCAAATAGAGAACAAAACAATTGAGGAAATTACCCAACTACTCATATAAAATCCAAACTCCAAATGGGGCAACAAGAAAAATAGTTAAGACTTCAAGGGAAACTGAATTTCACATTTATTATATGCTGGTAGATGTCATTGACAGCCTTCTCTGTTATTCCTCTCATCTTGTATGTTTTCCCACTGCTGGTTTGGCCATATGCAAATATAGTAGCTGTACCAGAAATTACATAATTTCAAGTGTTCAATAAAGGGGAAAACAAACAATTAATAAACAGTCATCAGAATTGAAATACCATTTATGCCTCCCAAAGCAGACAAAGCAACATTCTTCACTCCTTCATAAACTGTTTCATTTACGCATAATGGTCCAAACGCTTTATCTGAGCAAAAAAACATTAAAAAGAAACCCAAACATCAAATTTCCATGAAACTTAAAACCATGTAAATAACATATACTTAGAAAAGTTACCAAATGTGAAAGAAGATGGCTGAGCTGAGCGTTCTTGAGAAGGATGCTTAGAAACAATTGTGTGATCATCAACGCATTCCCATGCTACTTGATCTTTGGCCAATTGCTCCCTTTTACTTAAAGGCCTTAATCTTACAGTAACGACGATCTTCTCTTTCTTTGGTTTTGGGCCTCCAGGTGTTGTTACTGGTGTCTTGTCTATCTTGTTGCCTGGGGTTCCTGGAGTTCTAGTTGCCAGCTTTTCTATTGTCCTTTGTGTCTTTCAGATTTGAAAAACCAACAAAAGTATTGTTGTCTTTCTGCTAAAATATGATCCGTGAAATTACGAACTGGAAATGGAAACAATCAGCAAAATATAAACAAATAATTAGCAAATCTAGAATCTAAGAGGACTTACTAAATTATGAATAAATCAGGAAACAAGCGGAAACATATAGAAAGCCAAATTGCTAAAAGATTAGAAGTTAATGAAGCTGAAAAATTAGTTTCGATTTGAAGAATAAAAAATCCTTTAGAGTTTATACAAATCAGCTGGACAGGTAAGTAAAATATAAAACAATGCAAAATCGAAATGGCGAGAAAGCCAAATCTTGCTAATTTTCACTACTATTACTAAATTAGTAAGAAAATTAAGTAAATCGAAACGCAATTTAAAAAAAAAAAATCATTTGAGCGAATCGCACACGTTGTAGCATCAAAAGTTCTTTCTAATTATCTAAACAGATGAAGCATTCGCTCACCGATGAACTTAATCCAGCTTATAAGTGGATATCAAAGTAATTTCCTAGAAGGGAAGTTCACTTCCTCCGATTATTTTCCATTTTCAACTCAAAGTTACCAAATCAGAAATCAGAAGAAAAAATTAAAATTAAACAATTACTCAAATCTTCTGGATCAGATCAAAGTTAAGTGAGACTTGCAAACAGTGACAGGAGCGTACAAAGAGTTTTCGTAATTAGAGAAGAAAGAGATTTGAAATTTAGGTCTCTAACGGTTAGATTCATTTTCTCATCATTGCGTTTGGTTGTATGGAATCCCTTTGGAGTGGTGGAATTAGAATCAAATTCCACTATTTTTCCATGTTTGATTCAAGTTTTTCAAGGGAATTGGAATCTCTGATGGAATTCAATTCCATCAAATGAGGAAAAGTGAATTTCATCCAAAAATGGATGGAACATCAATCATTTGGTAACTTATTCATTTTGGTCGGGTTAGATCGGGTTTTTTAAGTGTGTTATTCAGGTCGGGTTCGGGTTTAGGGTGAAAAAAACCGGATCGACCCGAAAATATATATAATTCAGGTCGGTTCGGACTAAGTCACTGTTTTTATTAAATAAAAATAATTTTTTATTATTTCGGGTCGGGTCGAGTTGGATTTCTAATTCATATATTCGAGTCGGGTCGGATGAAACTTGATTTTGTTCGAGTCGGGGTTTTTAAGTGTGATATTCGAGTCGAGTTGGTTCGGGTTTTTTTAAGTGTGATATTCGGGTCGGGTCGGGTTCGGGTTTAGGGTGAAAAAAAACCGATCCGACCCGAAAATATATATAATTCGGGTCGGGTCGGATTAAGTCACTGTTTTTATTAAATAAAAATAATTTTTATTATTTCGGGTCGGGTCGGATTTCTAATTCATATATTCGGGTCGGGTCGGATGAAACTTTATTTTGTTCGGGTCGGGTCGGGTTTTTTAAGTGTGATATTCGGGTCGAGTCGGGTCGGATTTTTTTAAGTGTGATGTTCGGGTCGGGTTTAGGGTGAAAAAAACCTGACCGACCCGAAAAAAATATATAATTTTACCTTATATATTTAAGAATAATTACAATAATACCCCTCTATATATAATTTTTTTCAATTAAGTCAATGTTTTTATTGGAATAAAAATAATATCTTTATTATTTTGAGTCGTGTCGGGTCGAGTTTCTAATTCATATATTGAATAAAAATAGTTTTTGGTATATTTTTTGGTAACTAATTAACATACTCCGATTGGAATGTATTGAAATATTGCTCTATCTTTTGGTAACTTATTAACATATTTTGATTGCGATGATTTTAACTTATAATGTTTATTAGCATGATTTTTATAATTTATTGAAATAAATAATTAATCAATAAAATAAAAATTTAATATATTTTTTAATTTTTTATAATATATTACTACATGTAAGTTGTAAAATAAACTAAAATAAAGCAAAAAATAAGAAGGACAATTATGTCATTTTATATTACTGAAATCAAATTCATTTGACATGTCTGCGAACCAAACATAATATGGAATTGGATTCCAATTCTTACAGATTCCAATTCCTTCACAGATTCCAATTCCCTCATAAACATTCCAGCAAACCAAACGCCACCTTAATGTTTTCTCTCTATTTCTCGTCAACTTATCGATTTATATTGATATTCCGTGATACGATTGGATTTATCGTTAGATAAAAGCGGCACAGGTTTCAAGTTTTATTAACGGCTTTTCGATTTATAGTTATAAGTAGTTTAAGAGTAAAATATTTAATTATTAAGTATTTAAAAATTATAAAATAATTATTAAATTTATTAAATTATTATAAAATATCACGATAATATTATAATAATTATAAAATTTTGATAAAATTTAATTATCATTTTAAAACAATTCAATAAATTTTAAAAATTATTTTATAATGATTTGATAAAATTTAATTATTATATATCAATATTACTCCTTTTGAATATCTATCATTCTTAGAGTATTTTTCACCTAAAAGTACATTTTTATTCGAACTCGTAACCTTTTATACAAATTTTGTTGACAAAAACGTATTAGATGTCCCTATACTTTTGGGGAAAAGAACCAATGTGATTATTGTATTATTTTTCACTCAATGTGGCATTACAACTCAGAAAATTAGTCCAATGTGACCCTTTAAAAAACGTTTTTCATTGTTGATCGTTACGATGCTGATGTGGCAGTCCACGGTATTGACATGGCAATCCACAATGGTTGATAATGTGACAGATAACATGACAGATGAAATAAATTAGTAACTCAAACATGACAAATAGACTGCCACTCAGTACCATAAGCCGTCACGTGAGCACCATAACGGTCAAACGACGAAAAACATTGGTCAAAAGGTCACATTGGATTTGTTTTTTGAATTGGAGGGCTACATTGAAAGGAAAAAGAATACGAGTGCCACATTGGTATTTTCCCAAAAGTATAAGGGCCGCTTATTCCCTTTTTTCCCCAAAATCTTTTTAGATTAAAAGGGGATAATGATTGTAAAAGTAATTCCTGTAAGGGAACGTCATAGGTTCGAATATGCATGGGAGGTGTACATTCGAGTGATAAATCCTTAAAGAGTTATTGGACATCTAAAGAATATAATACCAGCCAAATACTTATTATTTACAATGACTATCAGTTGCTTAGAACTTAGAAGATAGCATTGGAACTAAGGGGGAAAGGGAAAAAGTACACTTGCAACTTAGATATGAATAGATGATCATATCTGACCACTCTCATTGTTGGCAAATGTTCGTTTCCATGCAGTGATGCATAATTCACCTTCAACCCCCTATGATAAAGGATCTCGGGGACGTCAAATCATCTTCTGAATTCGACTTCAATATGTTTATTCCAACCCCATTTTCGTTTACGGTGTTGAAATACGTCCGACTTGCTTCCCAGTTACCGCCGTCTGCTTGCATTTCGCCCGGAAAATATCCCTCCATCGAACAATCGGTGAGATACGCATTTTGTTGGAATGATCTCACCATTGTTTGTTGATGATTGGGGTAGGGGTCTACCACATGATCCCCTGTATAAAAATTTACATATAAAACATTACTATAAAGGTCTCAGCTGGCATGATCAACCACCCACATTTTCAAGAAGTCCTGCACTGTGTTAATGCACGCGGAGGCGAGTCTTTTGTGGAATACCCCATCTTTACCGATCTTCTCTAGACGCCAAACCTCATCTCCCAACGTGGGTGGATGATGTTTCTTGGATACTTCAATACCAAATAATTTGTACTCAGTATTTGCTCCGCCTCAGCTTTTTATCTGCTGCAATTGTTCTCGGTATCAATGGTCTTATTCTTATCATGGAAAATCAGCATCGCAGAAGTGCGTCCTGCCAGCTCAACTAAATGAACAGAAAAGACGGTAACAGGGGATTTTCTTGTGGCATTTGAAATTTGCAAGAGAGTAATGAAGCCGTACAAATTTCTGGTGGAGTTAACGCATGCAAGGACTCGAAGTGGTGTATCTGATTTACCTCTCTCTTAGTGCCTATCGTTGTACGACTTAAAATGCCTAGCGGACTTGCGAGTGTAACTCACAACTGGGCCAATAATGACGGTCATAAGCATTATGGCAACCACAATCCAAGCAAATGTTTGTTGGTCAAAACCCTGAATATATTGTATCTTTCTTAGAATAGATAAAGATAAATAGGCAGGCATTGATGAAAAGAAACTCCTTTAGTGTTCATGAGGACTACAAGGGCCAAACCATCTCGCATTGGGCACTTATAGTAGAGGCAGACAAGAAGAGTAGCTACAATCTTGCCAGAGAGAGCCATGTGTGCCTAATTATCTTTCGAACGAAGGGACGCAATGAAAACCAAAAGATTGTCATGCAAAACAACACTGGGATTGCCACGTACAAATCTTTTTCCCCATTGATTCAAGATACAGCTACAACCAGCAGACACGAACACGATAGATCATTGACAATGGCTGCAGTCAAGGCCATTTACCAATATCCATGTACATGAGCTTCAGGTCTGAAAGGATTCGAGCTAGGTCGGGAAAGCTCGTAAAGCTAAGGGCAATAGACCAGAGGTAAGCACCCATCTCAGGTGCACGATTAGTTGCCTTTTGTTGTAGCACTATGGCAT